AAATATAAATAAAATAACCAAATAAAAAAAAAAAAAATGTCAAAGTCTTGCAATTCTCTATAAAATTAAATCCAAATCTCTCCATTTTATATTTAAGGTGTGTCTCCATTTTATGATTAGTTTAACTGTTATTAACAGCTGTATTAATTAAAAAGATTACTCATTAATTAACTAACTCTCTCAAATTTTAATAAGAATAGCTAAGGGCATCTCCAATGGTAATAGTTATTACTAGCTATATGGTCAGTTGACGTGGATGTGAGAGATAAGAAAAATAAATACTACCTCCTATTTTTAATATATGTCGTTTTAAGAAGTTGCACAATAATTAAGAATATTTGTTTTGTCAATAATAACCTTATTTAATGAAGATAGAGATGAATGTTTTGAGAAAAAATGAAGAGTGAATATGAAAAGACGTAATGTATTTATTAGCTAAATGAGGGTAATAATGGAAAAATATGTACAAAAGATCCAAAACGACATTTATTTAGCAAATAGTTGATAAAAGTAGAATGACATTTAAAAAAAAATAGGAGGGAGTATTATACACTATTGGACCCACGTACTCCTCTCACATGATCTTGGGCTACGTGAAATAGATAAGCTATTTGTTAGTAGCTAGTGACTACTCTCTCTTTTATTTTTCCCCTGTCCACGTCATAATAGTTAGTCAAATAGCCAACCATTTGGGACGCCCTAAGTTCTGGATTTGGTGAAGCATATATTGGCATCAAATACAAAAGCAATTTAATCTTGGTAACAAATTAGGGTAAGTCACACAGAAATTGTGAAATAATATAAATATATATATTCATGATGATGTTTGACATCTAACATTATTAATTAATTAGTAACATCAAGTGATTATTAATAATCATAAAGTTATTGAAACTTTTGCATCTTTATGGCTAGACATGTACAGGAATATTAAGTTTTTTAAGTAACAATCATTCAGCTAATTAATAAATGATTAACATTAATCCAGCTCATTAGAAAAATATTAAACAAATGCTCATTAGAGACTAATTAATTATTCTTGTATAGTTGTTGATTCTCTTAACTGATCCCTGAATTAATTTAATAATCCCTAATTATATATTTAACTAATTTTCATGTTATATATTCCTCCGCCTCATATTGCACTTTGTCTGGCCATTTTAGGAATAATATAAAAGGTTTTAATGAATGAGATTCAAAACTTTGCGGAAATGCTACAGTCACGTTACGAAACCGATCCGTTAGGAATTTGTAACCGTTAGATCATCATGTAACCATCGTGGAAAGTTGATCTAACGGTTACAGACCCTGACAGAATGGTCCCGTAAACCGTAACGGAATTGTAGAATCTCCCTGTTTGTGTAGTGTTTTAAAAAATTGAATTTTCAGTTTCAATTATTTTATTTTGAGAACTCTAGTGAATGTACGGAAGTTTGAAATCTAAATGTGTAATTGGTTTTATTTAAATGGAGATGAAAATTATCCTGAAATTGCTTTATGAAGTGTACATTTGTGTATTTGGGTAATTTAATTTAATTGTAAGATCTATCTATATTGTTAGACTAGAACAACGCCCGTGTATTACATGGGTGCTTGCTAATTTTTTTTTTTAAATCTAAAATTAATGAAAAAAGGTAGTTGAAAATTTAAATATCTTTTATAAAAATATATATATTATTATATATTTAGTATGATACTTTTTGTTTGTGTGACTTACCTGTGTTATATTATAATAATTTCTTAACTTACAACATATAACTACATTAAACATAAGATATTAATTGAGAAATAATTTTATTTTTCTAATGAATTTTAATAAATATTATTATTATTTATTATTATAAAAATAAATATGATTTATTTATTTTATATATACAATATGGATGTCAAACGAAGACCATCGAAAGATGATTAATTTGATATATTATATATGTAAAACCGATAAGAAATACAAAATTTATAAAATTTTAAAATAAATTTATAATTCAATACTAATTGAAGTAAACAAATCAAAATTTAGGGATATGTTAGTCACTTAGTGCCTCAGTATGTAAAATTACAAAGAATTAAAGGGTTATATTAGTACAAGTGATATAAAAAACCTAAGTTAGCTAAATAATATTTATGGAATGTCCGAACCTAAATTTTATTAATTATTAATATATTAATATTATTTGTTCAAACCTAATTACGAAGCATGATTCTTCGTCAAGTAGGATTCCGAAGCACCAGAAGCAGCCACGTAGGCTCAACGTTTAAATTATATGAAATGGATATACAAAAACTTTAACTAGGTAACATTTTTAAGGGATCAATAAGTTAGTTGATAGAGAGTACTAATCGCCAGACAACCATATTTTTTCAATGAATGTTTATATTTTTAATTAAAATTTTCGTATTATATATATATAAAAAAGTATCAAGCAAAACTATGATGTTTTTTAAATTATAGATGTTTATTAAAAAAAATGACAGTTCAATCTGTCTGTTAGTCCTTAAATAAAAAAATTTATGTAAGTGAATAGGGTAGGCATAATTATTAGCTCTTCAACTACACAAGCAACTAGACATGGTCACGGGCTGGACCGGTCCGAAACTGACCCGTAAGTTGCCGGCATCGTGACTTTACGGGTCGTTTCCGGGTCCTTAATTAATTGGACTGCAAAACCAATATTAAAGCTACATTTACCTATTTTAGGATTCTGTCTAAAATTAATGGAACTGCAGCTCAGAATCTCCCATTCCACAACCCAATAGTCCTTCAACATATTGACCACTTTTTTTTTTTTCCTCTCAGCATCATTATTAACACACAAAAGCTTGGCCTTAAATTTTACATCACATTCACATGTATGTATGTATGTATGTATGTATTGTTTACATCTACATTCAAGATATATAAATAAATAAATAAATAAAGTTTTCATTTTATTATCCAAACACTATTTCATAAATACACATTTTTTGACTATTCCCAGATTCACCCCTTGACTCCTGAGAATTACAAGATTCCACCACCGCCATAACAAAAAAAAAAAACTCACTTCCAGCAAATCTAACAAACAACAGCAGTAAATAAAAATTAAAAACAGCAGTAAAAAGAAGGGAAAAAAAAAGGAAAATTAAAATGATAAAAAGAGAGATGATTTAATCTATCATGTAGAAGAAAATGAAAGATGGCAGCAGAAAACACACTAGACAAGTGGCGGGACCCACTCTTTCACTCGCTCACTCACTCACTCAGGGAATACATTACACACCAACCAAAGGCACCGAGTCAACCCAGTGAGTTCTCAACTGAGTTTCCATGCCGAGGTGGCAATCAACGGCCTGGTGTGCCACCCCAACATCAAACACCCACTGTTCTCCTCAACCATATAACCATCCCCACCGGCAAACAACGCCAACAACATACTCGCCTGCTTGTAAGCGTTCGATCCCAGGTGGACCGGCTCGAACCCGGCCGACCTGAGCCGTTCCCTCCACCGGTCCAGGGTCTCGTGCCTCTCCACCCGGTCCGCCCCCTCGCAGGCCACCACATTGCAAATCTGACTCCCCAAGTAGACCTCGCTCATCACCTTATCCTCAACGCTCACCGCCTCCTCGCCGCCGGCGCCGGCTTCGCTCTCCAGCGAGTCGAAGAGGGTTGAGTAGTAGTGCAGGCACTCGTTGAACCGGTCCAGGAAAACGTCCCCGTTGTGGTTCGCCTCCTGCTCCACCACGGTCACGATTTCGGGCTTCAAATCGCGCACCACCTGCAGGACCTTGTTGATGGCGCCGGGCCGGGCCAGCAGCGGGTGCAGCTCGAAAATAGAATTCACGGCCACCGTCTCCCCTTCCCGCACCTCGAACATGGAGGCGTTGAGATCCGCGAGCGAGTTTGCCACGAAGCCCCTGTACTCGAACTCCACGTTTATCGTCTCCGCTAGTTGAGCCAGCCTCCAGCCCACCTCCTGCAGGTGGTCGGTGTCGTCGGGCGGCGGCGGCCCGATTCCGGTGAGCCGGAAGCTAGGCGGGCCGCCGGGCCTCAAGGCCAGAGCCTGAAGGAGGGCGGGCCACTGCATCCCTTGCTTCATGCTGAAATCGATGACGTGGACCCTATCTTTGCCGGCGAAGGCCTCGAGGATCGCCTGATTCGCCGTGAAATGGGCGAATTTCAGGTAAGGGCCTGTCTCGTAGAAATGCATCTGCAGGGCATCGGTGAAGGCCGAGTCCTGTGGATTTGCGGGGCACAGCCTGTAAATCCTCCTCGCCAGGGCCTCGGCGAAGTATGTAGCTACTTTTCTCATGGCCCCGGCTTGAGAGACGGCGAGGGATCCGATGCTCTTTACCAAGACCTCGGCGAGTTTGAAGTTCTCCTGCTGTACAGCCTCGGCGCAGGCCATAAGGGTGTGGACGAGCCTGACGCCGTTTTCCTGCGAGTCGACCAGGACGACAGGCCGAGCCGGATCCGAAAAAACCGGATCCACCTGCAGAGCCCTGACCGGAGTTTCCGGGAACGACGACGACGTTCTGAGCTTCTTCGCCTGCGGCGGGGGAGGGAGAGGCGGCTGGAAGACAGCCTTCCCGGGTATGGCGATGAGATCCGATCCGAAATCATCAAGGTCAACCGGTCGGCTGCTGACGCTGGCGCCGTTGTCGACGGCGGCGGCGGTGATGGTGGATGAATCGAGGAAGGGATCCGGAGAGGAGGAGTCGAGGGCGGGGTCGGGGTTGAAGCCGGAGAGCATGGACTCGAGCCAGGAGGAGATGTCCGACGGGTTGTAGTGGACGGTGGTGCCGGAGCCTAGGCCGCCTTGGTGGGCCGTCCCCATGGCCTCCAGCTGCTCGATCTTCTGCGCGACCTCGGCCATGTCGGAGGACCTCATACTGTATCCGAGGGCGGCGAAGTGCTCGTCGACGCCGCCGCCATCGTCCGGCCACATCTTTCCCTTGCCGGAGGACGACCCTGAGCTCCCTGAGCTGGAGAAAATCTCTCGATTCGAGTAGTGATAGTCTCGTTTCATCGTTTCTGTTTTCCGACTGTTTTCTTGTCTTAAAAAGGGGGAAATTTCAGATTTAGCTTTCGAGGGGTTTGAGATTGAGAAGGAGAATTAGGGTATTCGAGGATTGGGCCAAAAGGTGCTTGGTTTTTCACATTATCGCCTCTGTTTCTGAGTTGCTTGGGGAAGAGAGAGAAAACTGTTTGCACTTTGCAGTGTGTGTGTGTGTTGAGAGAGAGAGAGAGAAAATCGACGAGAGAGAGAGAGAGAAGAGAGAGAGGCTCGTGAAGGTGGGCGCGACCTTCAACACACTGAATATATATCTACTACAGCAAAACTGTACTTTTTTATTTTTGGTAGCCAGCCACCGTTTTGAATTTATGCTCCGACTAATCCATTGATCGACCTGATCGCATACTTGGCAGTGGTGGGTGAGTCTCCCAACAAGAGTTTTTTGCATCCACAAAGACTCAAAACTGAGACCTTACTTAAGCGAAGTCAAGCTGCTTACCACTTGAGCCAACTATGTTAGTAGCAAAATTATACTTTAAACAAATCAGCAGTTTCACTCTATCTTTTTTTTTTTACCATATTTATTTACTCTCGTTTTAGTAATCGTAAAGGCGTGGCCAGGTAATAATTTCTTAACTAGGGTTGTGAAAATTGTTATAAATACACCGCTCGTTCACTATTCCATTTCTAAAGGAGTTTCCATTCTAGATTTTTTTTTTTTCTTAGGATTTTTTTTTTTTAAATATTGATGAGGCTGATAATTTAGATATAATTATTACATTTGAATTTAGGTTACTTGATTCTCCTCGGGTAATCGCGTCGCGCCTCATAATCGCGCTCGTGCATATTTTTACTATCGAGTTGACCTCGAAAATCGAGTTTTCCGTTATTTCAATTCGATTTTTTTTTTGGTACAGGGACCTTCTGGTTTCCGGATCTACAGGGGAACCGACTAATCCGGAATCGAGCCGGGTAGGACCACAAGGGCGGCAAAGCTTTCCCTCAAGAGTTTTAACATTGCTGCATTCTCAGAGCTCGAACTCGAGATCACTGGTTAAGCTGGAAGAGACCAAAACCATCTCATACAAGCGCTATTGGGTATTTCAATTCGATTTCAAATGCACAGAACAAATGTTCAATTTAATCCTTGACGAACAATTTCGACTTAAATATCAACCAACTTATTTCGATTTTTCCACATTTGTCTTCATATTTTGGTGGTGTTGTATTGTTTTTTTTGCCAAAATGATAGGGGAGTGGTGTTGTATTCAATGGCCCATTTTTTTCGAAACTTGTTAATAACTTTAATGAAGGTGGTTGTATTATATAAGTCAGTCATATCGATGTTTGGGCTGGAACGGTATTCCATTTTTAAATTTTTTTTTGGTCATTATAACAACATTGTGCTGGTTAGATATCGATGTTAAATTGAAACATTAAAAAATATTCAGATTTATTTTTTTTAAATAAGTTTTTGCATAACTAAATTTTCTAAATGTAATTTTATAAAGTTTATATTCTTTGAATCTTTATTTAAATATATTGACGAGTGATCGTTAACCTCCTTAATTATGACATTAAGTGTAGCTAAATGATAACTTGGCAAGCATTTGATGTGGTTTGACTAATGTGACAAATAAATAAAGTAACACACGATTTTGTCGATCTGCTGTGATATCGACGAGGAGAAAGTTTCTTCAAGGAAATACTTACAATTTGTTTGTAGTTACAATAATAGTTGCACGATGAACTTAGTGTATGCTAGTGTGAGATATATTGCTTGGGTAAGCTTGTTTAGCTCGTTCTAAAAAATGAGGTGCTACAGGATCCCTTTACATTGGGAAAAAGCAAAGTTTTATGATGCTTGAGTGCCACTCTGATGGCTAAGAGGAGGATGTATGGTGCTATGAGATTCATTTTTTGAGGACCGGATTTTCAACATCTATAAGAAATGGCCGATTTGGACGACGAGACGAGCACTTGAGTAGTGGTGTCACCATATTTAACGGCTTTACTAGTTCAATCTATCAGCTTGTTAGTGAAATGGACTTCACCCGGCTCCTGCAACTCGGACGCCCTCAGTACTTGCAAGAACTCAACATCAGGAGTGGTCCTGTCGTCGAGCCTCCGATGCCTAAGTTTGCACTAGCCAGAGATAAAGAGCGCACTATGAGAGTATAATAATGAATATAGAGATAATGAGTTTTTGGGATACCTTAGACTCATTTTATAAGGGAGGCCGGTGTACCTTAGTGCCCAAGTTGGGCTTGACCAATACCATTATACCATGTGTCCTAGCCCATGTGTAGGCTTATTTTCAAAATATTCTTTTTTAACCATTAAAACATGCCATTGAAGTCAAAAAACAAACTCAACAAAATCAAACCAGGTAATAAACCATCGATCTGCCATCGATGTCTACAAATAAACTCGGTGAACTACACCAAGTGAACTCCATCGACCTGCCACTGGGATCAAAAAACAAATGCGACAAAACCAAACAAGGTAAAAAAACATTGATTTGCCACCGAGGTCTACAAATGAACTGTGTGAATTGCTCCAAGTGAACTTTATCGACCTGCCACTAAGGTAAAAAGACAAATTCAACAAAATCAAACCAAATAATGAACCATCGACCTGTCAACGAGGTATGAAAATAAACTCCATGAATTTCACCAACTGAATTCCATCGACCTGCCACTAAAGTCAAAAAACAAATATAACAAAACCAAACTAAGTAATAAACCATCGCCCTGTCACCGAGGTTTACAAATCAACTCTGTGAACTTCACCAAGTAAATTCCATCGACCTACCATTGAGGTCAAAAAACAAATTCAAGAAAACTAAACCAAGTAAAAACCATCGACCTGCCACCGAGGTCTACCAATAAACTCCATAAATTGCAAAAATTGAACTTCATCGACCTGCCACTGAGGTAAAAAATAAATTCAACAAAACCAACCATGTAAAATAATCAACCTGAAACCGAAGTCTGCCAATAAGCTCCGTGAGTTGTACCAAGTGAGCTCCATCAACCTGCAACCGAGGTTAAAAAATACATCACAAACCTAACCAAGTAAAACTATCGATCTGCCATCGAGGTCTACCAATAACCTCCGTGAGTTGTACCAAGTGAGCTCCATCGACCTGCCACCGAGGTTAAAAAAAATATATCAATAAACTAAACCAAGTAAAAGCCATCGACCTGCTCGAGCTATTTGTCCTCCCTATTTTCAACGAACCAATGCTATGATCGACCACCCAGCCCGAAGGCCTTATCCATGGTAGATTTTTAAGCCTCGTGGCCTCCAATTAACGTCTGCCCGACCCGCTCATGGGACTGTATGAAAAGACTACCACCCAGTCCGAATGCCTCATTAATGGTGGATTTTTAGGCATCCGGGCCACCAATGGACGTCCATCCAGCCCGCTCATGGGACCGTCGAACAGACAAAGCCCGAAGGCCTTAGTCATAGTGAATTATTTTGTATGCCCGACCCACCACTAGGGCTGATTCCACCAGCCCGAAAGCCTCAGCCATGGTGGATTTTTTGTTGGCACATGTTGATGTCTAAAAATGACCAACAACGTGTTAGAACTGCACACGGTGATGTGTGCTCTGTTCGGTCTGCACGAATAGTTTTTATGTGTGTGATTCGCTCTAACTTATTGGTTCGAATGCTCTAGCTATCCGTGACTTATAAGATAATTAATGAGAGCATTTACTCATTGCATTAAATGATGTCCTCCCCTCCCTTATATAGGAAGTTTAGGGACCTTTACATTTTTCCTCTTGGGGGATTTTTGTATTTCTTTAGCAAGATATTTCAAGATATTAGTCATTCCACATTAAATGCTAAATTGTACTATACAATCTATCATCAATATCAATGGCCCGCCCGGATTACGCCACGTGTCCCGATTGATGGCGTGCTATTAGATCAGCCGTCACGAAAGATTTCCGCATTTAATGCTACTGGTACGGCTGATATTAGTAATGATGAAGGTAAATCATCCACTTGAACTTGAACTCGTCCATTAACCCGTCCGACCTTCTCTCAGTCGGTTCGCTCGTCCTCGTAACGGGGATGAATACAGTCGCTCGGTCTTGACCACCAACAAAGCCCCCTGATTCGGGCATCACGTGAGGTATAATCGCCGGTCGTGGTGTCTGGATCCGCATATCTAGACGGACCGAACGATCCCACTTCCTTCCATTCTCCTGACCGATTGCCATAACC